TTCAGCTTGATGGCACCTGGTTAGTTCAACCTCTCTTTTGCAGCAATGTCCGCAGTCACTTTTGCAGGGTCTTCGGCTCAGTCCATTGGCATTCCCATGAGATTTTCCTCCTCTGTATTTAATATTATAATTGTACTGGTCTATTTTTTCGATCCAACGTGCCAGTTGTCCCTCTGAGTTCTTTAATGATCTTAACCAGCGTAATGCAGCATGGTCTGTCCTAATGGTAAACCTTGCACCATAGAGGTAAGGATGGAAATATATCAGACTTTTTACTATAGCAAGGAGTTCCCTCCGTGTTACACAGTAGTTCCTCTCTGGTCTATACAAAACCCTACTAAAGTAGGCTACCACATGTTCGTTTTCGCCCACTTTCTGAGACAACACTCCTCCAATTCCGACATTACTAGCATCACAATCCAGTATATACGGCAGTGAGGGATTTTGAAGCTTTAGAAGTGAAGCAGAGGCCAATTTTTCCTTCAACATCTTGAAAGAATGCTGGCAAGAAACTGTCCATTCAAACTTTTGGTCTTTTTTAGTCAAATCATGTAGTGGAGCAGCTATTGTTGCAAAGTCCTTCACAAACTTCCGGTAACAGGTACAGAGTCCCAAGAAACTTCTTAACTCTCCCACAGTGTCTGGTGTTGGCCAATCATGCACTGCTTTCACCTTGTCAGGACCAGTTTGCACACCATGCTCACTTACAATGTGACCTAAGTAAAGCACCTATTTCTGGAACAAGTGACATTTCTTGGGATGGAGTTTGAGGTTTGCTGCTTTCAAATGCTTGAATACTTCCTCTAGCCGGGACATTTCCTCATCAAAAGTTGTTGCAAATACAATGACATCGTCCAGGTACATTAGGGCTATTCTCCATTGTAGGCCTTCCAATACTCTTTCCATCAGCCTCGCAAATGTTGCTGGACCATTACTAACCCCGAATGGCATCACTCGGTATTGCCAGAGACCTTGGCCATAACTAAATGCTGTCTTTGGTGTATCTGCTTCAGCCATTTTTACTTGATGGAAACCTGACTTTGAATACAACTTTGAAATTCACTTAATTTCCACGGTCACGCTATAGCTTAAACAAACGCTATAATTCACTACGAATGACTCAAGTGCTCGCTCGACTCAATTGTCAGTCTCTATCTCTGTCTGCAGTTCAATTACGCATTGTTGCCATCATGTCTTGACCGTCTTATATGTACAAGAATATCGAAATCTAGTAAACGCTCGAGCATTCACGAACCTTCGAGAATATGACGTGTTACCAGCTTCACGTGACCCCCGCTGTCGTAACACTGCCCCTTCCTTAGTGTTCTTCATCCCGAACAATAGCCACTTACACTAAAACAATTAACAATAACTTAATTGAATGTACAGAATTTACAAACACAAAATTAAAATTCAACAAAGTCTCTTAATTTTACGG